TCATCCAAATAGACCAAAACCCCACGATATAAATAATCATGCAAGATCCCATTGATTAGTTGCATGAAAACGGCAGGAGCCCCCTGCAACCCGAACGTCATCACCAGGAAATGATAGCTCCCCAGGGGACTGTTGAAGGTAGTCTTCCATTCGTCACCGGGGCGTATTCGTACCCGATAGTATGCCTCACGAAGGTCCAATTTGGTGAAGATCTTCCCGGTGGTCAATGTGGCTAACAAGTCGGTTATTAAAAGAAGCGGGTATAACGGCTCGACACATACAGCATTTAATCCCCGGTAGTCAACGCATAAGCGGAGTCCCCCGCCCTTCTTCTCACGGAGAACCGGAGCAGCCAGACGAGAACGACTGGGGCATATCAACCCTCATGCTAGGTTCTTATCGATATACTGTCTTAACTCTTCCAATTCCCTGGGCGTCATCAAGTACATTCGCGGTTTCGGTAGTTTCGCCCCGGGGACTAATTCGATTCCACAATCTGTATCACGATGTGGTGGCAGTACATCGCATTCGTCTTCGCTAAAGACTCGGGCAAGATCCTGATACACTCGGGGGTATGGCTGCCCATGCTCCACCTCATGTTGTGTTCTTGTACACTGCTCCACTGTTACCGGTAGCCGTAGCTTGCGGTATCCCCCTTCCCACCAAATGGTTGGTTCCCATTTATCCAACCATGCTAATCCGAGAATTACAGGCTTGACCATCTGTGTGATGACTATGAAGCGAATAAACTCGCGGTGTTCCCCTACTTCTAGGATGACTGGCTCGGTTATATGTGCGGTTGGTTGTCCACCAAGAATAGTCCCGTCCACCTGTTTGAATTTAATAGGGGTGCGTAAAGTGAATATCTGGAGGCCTAACCCCTCTGCCACAGTACGGCGGATCAGGCATCTAGTACACCCAGAATCAATTAAGGCCTTCTGGTTACACTCGCGTTTCGTTGTTGGGTGCCGTAGTACAATCGGTATCAGAAAGGGATGTATGGGATCACTTACCATAGGATCCTGGATGTCCTCCTCATCCTCGCTAGTCCCCATGGTCTCAGGAACACAAGCTGTCCCAGGTGAACCACTCCCACCGGATTGTAGCGTTAGCTGTGATAGGGAGACGTGAGCTGCTGCTCTAGACCACTCCGGTGTACGTCCGGGTCTCTCATTTGGTCCGGTGTTCAGTCCCTGCGGCCTTGGAGTGGATACCCTTGGCGGCGGCAGGGGGCATTCAGCCGCCCTATGCCCTTCCTGGTTACATCGAAAACAGCGGAACGGGCGTCTCCCTGTCTCTCCAACCCCCCCTCCTATGAAGGGGGGTAGTCTGGAAAAAGCCTTCTCCTTCGGTTGTCCGATAGGACCGTTTTTGTTGGATCTGACCCACCCCCCGGGGCCTGAATTCTCAAAGACCAACATCCAAAGCAACAGCCGCCTTGTACCATTCTGACAGACGGGGCCCTAGTCCACGGTACACGCAAGCTTGACGTATTTCTCTGTCTAACCCCGTTTGAAACTGGTGGATAAGGAGGCGTTCTGGCCATGACCGTAACTTTCCGGCTAAGCCCCGGAATTCCTTAACATAGTCCTTTGCTGGGCATCCCCGTTGCCTCAGCCCCACGAGCTCCCCTTCGATCACCTGGGTCTGGGTCTCGTCCTCGAACCGGGCCCGTAATGCCTCCAAGAATAGGCCATGGTCCATCAATTCACGAGCGTGCTCACTGTGTAAATCTGCAACCCAGTCTGCAGCCTCACCTGTGAGCACTGCTGTCACATCTACTACCATGGACCATTGTGAGGGATATAACTTGCCATACAAGTCCATGTGGCTGATCACCTGACTGAGGAATAACGCCACCTTCTCCGACGTCCCATCGAAAGAAGCCTGTACTGTACTGGCTCGGCTCGTCCGCTGTTCAAGCTTAAATTTGGGACTAGCGATACGCAGCCTGCTTTCAAGTGTGCTCCCCTGCCAGGTCCCCATTGGCTCGGTGCTGGGCGCCCAGGGCTGCCAAGAAGGCGCGTCACGGAAACTGGCCTCACCGAACCTGTCTCGTAATATGTCCATCATGGTTGCTCCCGGGCCGGTGGAGTAGCTCCATTCACCATCGTCCTCATCGACCCATTTACGTTCTCTCCAGCCCTGGAATTGGGTGCCAGTATATGGAGGGGTCTGCACTCGTGTGCCTGTCAGGGCCGAACTATGCCACCATGTTTCGGACCCAGTAGGAGCCGCCACCCCGAGGCCATGCGTCTCCTCGAGACCTCCCTCCGTTCGGGGCTCTACCGTTGTCTCTTTTGGTGGGTCCCGTTGTTTTGGACGCACCACTGGTTGCTCAGCCAGGTCGCGCGCCTCAATGACGGTGTCCTCTGCAGCCTCCTCCTCCAACTCCTCAGGCAGCGCGTCCGCAGAGACCCCCTCCACCATGGCGCTGCTCCAGTGTGGCCGTCTACGAGGGGGTTGTGAGCCGCGCTTTCCTCTCGGCCTCCGGTAGACCGTGTTCACCAAACCACGAGACACACTGGGATTCAGTAAGGTAACTCAGTTTAATCAGTGACAACGGCTTTTCCAGGAAACCGGAATGCACATAAAAAGTCAAAAACGCGGCTATCAGTTATTTCCAGCAACGCTTTTTATAGCGCAAGCCAAAGCTGAGCAGCTGGGGCGCGTTTAAAACTCCCGCTGCTCACCTCCGGGCGCGTACTTCTGACGTCATCTCCGCCTCGTCTCCTTGGCCGTCCCTCTCCGGCGCTGCCGCTGCTTGCCCGCCGCGCCGTCCTGGCGCCCCTCGCGAACCCCGCTAAGCACCTGTGCGGCGTATGGTCCTATTCGCAACGTTAAATCCCCTCACCATCACCCTGTGCCCCTTCCGCGCCTGCACCAACCCCCCCTGGCCGGCTGCTGTCTTTCGCCATCCATGGACATGGTGTCGAGTGCTGTTTGACGCTCGACAGGAACGTCATCTCGGCTCCTTGAAAGCGGAGCACATCTCCGGAGTGGCCAACATTCAAGCAGACTGGCTGACCCGTCAACGTTTGGACCATGCAGAGTGGCGCCTGCAACCACAGATATTCAAGGACCTGACGCTCCATTTTGGCACACCGGAGGTCAATCTGTTTGCGACACAGTTGAATGCACAACTCCCGCGTTTCTTCGCATGGTATCCATTGCCTCGCACAGAGGCCACCGATGCTCTTCTGTCCCCATGGCCGACGGGTCTTCTGTATGTCTTCCTGCCAATCTCTCTCCTTTCGCAGGTCATACGCAAACTGATCTTGGAACGAGCGGAAGTGATTCTCCTGGCCCCTCATTGGCCTCGCAGGCCTGAGTTTGCGGACCTAGTTTCTTTATCTGTCGCCCTACCTTGGTGTATTCCTCAACGGGCGGATGTCCTGACATGGGGGGCTCTATGTCATCCAGACCTCCCATGGCTCAATCTGACCGGTTGGAGATTGAGCGGTGCACCTTAAGGGGAGCCAACATCCCAGCGGATATTATCCGAACAATCCAGGCTTCGCGGAGGCCTTCTACAGACCGCATTTACTCGGCCACCTGGCAGGCCTTTTGTACATGGTGTGACCAGAATGGGGTGCAAGCCCTTCAGGCTTCCATTGTCAATATCCTGGTTTTCCTCCAGGAAGGTCTATCCAAGGGTCTCTCTCCCAATACCTTGCACAGACAGGTGACGGCGATCTCATCGATACTTACCTGTGGCTCTTTGGAATCATTGATTCAACACCCTCTGATTCGTTTTCTGCAAGGAGCTACCAATTTGTGTCCTCCTGTACTGCTTAGGTACCCAACTTGGGACCTTTCGATTGTTCTGAACTCGCTTACGGGTTCCCCGTACGAGCCCTTGCGGACGGCTAGCCTCCGTCTGCTATCGTGTAAGGTCGCCTTCCTGGTGGCCATTACCTTGGCCCGCCGCATCTCGGAGATTGCAGCGCTTTCTACTCATTGTGACCTCTGTGTACTCCACGTGGATCCAATGGTTCTCCGCCTCGACCTGACATTTGTTCCAAAGGTCAATACAACATTCCACCGCATGCAGGAATTTATCCTTCCTAACTTCTGTCCTCGGCCTGCTCACCCTCTGGAGCAGCGGTGGCATACTCTAGACCTTATGAGGGCGCTGCATCTGTACATTAAGCGAACTGCTAACATCCACAGGACCGAATCCCTCTTTGTGTCATTTTTGCCAGTTTCCCTAGGTTGCAAAGTGTCGTTGTTGACCATCGGACGCTGGATCCGCCAAACGATCGCCACGGCCTATGAACTATATTCCCTGCCTAAACCCCATATTTGACTGCTCATTCGACCTGCAGTGCGGCTATGTCGGTAGCCTGAGCCACGCAAGCCTCTTTATCTGAGATATGCAGGGCGGCAACATGGACCTTGCCTTCCCCATTCATCCAGCACTACAAACTGGACAAGTTCGCTTCAGCGGATGCCGCCTTTGGGTGTCAAGTGTTACAACGGGTTTACACTACGGAGGTCTCTCAGGACCAGACTGGTCCCCCCCAGACTTAGGGACAGTGAACTTGGGTATGTCCCATCCTGGCTGCTGTCTCCACCCACAATGGAGAAGGGCCTTGGTCCTACCTGAGACGCACCTTCTCATTGGGTAGAGACAGCAGCCAGACCCTCCCTTCGCCAGTCTGGTTTCTATGCCTCTTACCTTTCTCTCTTTCTCTGTCCCACAGGACGAGTCTGTTTCTTCGTCTTCGCCAAAAGCTGGAAGCCCCTAGCAACAAGGGCGGGACTAAACGACTTTGACAGACTCAGTCCATCAATCTGAATAGATGAGCATACCCCATCCTGGCTGCTGTCTCCACCCAACGAGAAGGTGCGTCTCAGGACCAACGCCCCTTCTCAGCATGCATTTGCATGCCCAGACACTTTCCTTTGAGGGGGTCCCACTGTTACTGTGTTTTCCTGAAAATAAGACCCTCTTATATTTTTGGCACCAAAAAAGGCACTAGGTCTTGTTTTCGGGGGGGGGGGGGGGATGTCGTCCACATGTGATTCACCTCACTTGCGTGCATCGCCCCCAGTGTCCTTTTCGCTGTCACAGGCCTTCAGGAACTTCTTCTGTGGCCGGCAAGGCTTTCCTGAAAGCTTGTGCAGCCAATAACAGAGCTCCAAATTGATCCGGAGCTCTGTTATCGGCTGCAGAGGCCTTCAGGAAAGCCTTGCTGGCTGCAGAAGAAATAGGCCAGCAAGGCAGGTGTCGGAATGTGCGAGGCCTGGCTGCAACTGTCAAAAGGTAAGTAGTAGGGCAGCTCCATCCCCCCATCCCCACCCTCGCTTAATTTTTACCCGTGCACCCTGGAGTGGGTGGGGTCTTAATCAGGGCTTATTTTGGGGGGAGCAGGGCTTATATTGGACAGGTGTAAAAATCAAGCTAGGACTGACTTATTTTCAGGGGTCGTATTTTCAGGGAAACACGGTAGTATTGTCTGTGCATACACATACATAGACACACAGAGATACCTTAGCTTTTGATGTACAAGCCTTGCAAAACATTTGGCTGCTTTCATGATTTTTTTTGTTTAAAAATCCCTTCTTTTGTATACCTACCTGTTGGGAAAGAATTTCTTCTGAATACTTTGCACAACCCTACCAAAATATAGATTTTTAGGGAGCTGGCATTAACTCCAAAGGCCCCTATTACTTGCCATCTCTTAATAAAGTGCAGTGTCACTACTATTATATTTTCCTAAATAACATCAGTGTTGAATTTTAAACTTTTTATCGGTGATGTTGTTCATATATTCAAAATGGTGCAGATACAGCTGACAATATCTATGGTAAATACCTAAAGCAGAAGATATAGGAGAACATCTAAGTAATGCTGAGACAGATAGCATTTTATCCATTTTTTTCTCCATCTTTCAAGGGAAGCAGAAGCAGAGAGCGTCAGCTGCCTAGAAATCTACAGTAACAGCTCCTATACATTAAGCCCTTTGGTCCTGATGTTAAACAGATGCCGAATCGGAGGAAATATATTTTGTTTGCTTTCTGAAACTAGAATCCATTTATTAAAAGGGGTTTTAGCCACTAGATTCAGGCAAGAAAAACAATGATTGGGACCAGCATCTATTTACAGACACTTAACAAAAACAGATAATACTAAAATCTAAAAAAAAGGAGCTACCAATAAATAAATTGTCCCCTACCAGTCCCACAGTACCTTGTGCAGTGGTGATCGCAGGAAATCAACGTTGTTTCATTAGGCTATGTAACATCAATTTTGACCTAATTCAATAATCAGGAAAAAAAAATATTTTCAAGAACAGAAGCTTCTTCAATATCTTTACACATCAATACGAATCCCATGTTTTATCGACATCAGTTCTCTTGTTCCGGTTAAATACAAAAGAAAAGAACAGAGATGAGGTAAAGTTGTGGTGACCGCCACATAAAGCCAGTAAGGCAAGGGAACCGTCTTTCCAAAGGGGCAGATCCACAGGCCGTGGCGTATTCCATCTCGAACATGATGCGAAGTCCAGGAGATAAACATCATCCAGGGAAGAAAGCACCAGGAATCCTTCAGCTTGAGAAGATGCATAACAAACTTTAACATCAGGCACACAACTGGGATCACAGTAGAACAGTGAAGAAACGGTCTTTGTGGAAGAGTCAGGGCAGCCTGAGAGGGAGGAAAAAAAAAAGGTACAATCCTAGCTTGAATTGGAAAGGAAAAAACATACTGTTTTTTAAGGGGAAAAAAGATATATAACAATTGCACCAACTTAGTTGATTTGCATTTTGACTAAAATCAACACACAAGTCAGAAAGTATTAGGATTTTTATATTTAATGCTTTGTATGTTCCAGTATTTGCTGCTATTCTACGTTTTGGTAAATGCAGTCCATTTAATTGATAGCTTGGACCAGTGGTGGGTTCCTCCCGGTTCGGTCTGGTTCTTGCGAACCGGTAGTAAAAGTGGAGGGAGGCTCCATCCACCTGCCATCATGGATGATCTGCGCATGTACTCCTGTTGCAAACCAGTAGTAAAGGTAAATAGAACCCACCCCTGGCTTAGACACATTCTCTGGTTGCTAGCCCTGGAACTACTATTCATTTAAAAAATTTATTTGGCTGGAGAACTGGGAACAAGGGAGCGATAAGCAATATCAATTATAGACTTTCTTATTTTGGCAAAACGTTCTAACTCTACATTTTTCTGACAGACTTGGGAATTAGTGAAGTAGAAAATGCCAATTCTAAATGAACAAAAATAAAATCTTTCACTTTAAAGTTGCCAATGACAGTACCTATTTGAAATCATTTATAAATAATCCTATTTCCCAACTTCAGCCAAAATTGTTTGTATGTAGGTTACTAATATCTGATTAAATAAAACAGTATTGTTCGCATATGTGTAGGTTGACTAAGGCCTTTTTGAAGAGAATTTGTTATCACAACCACATAAAAAGTAAGATTCTGAGTTGTTTATAACTATCCTCTTTAGCAATATTATTGCAACTTGAACTTCAGACAATAGAGAAATGTATGGAGAAGTGGTTCAGGTGTTGACTCCTATTGGGAGATCCAAGATCCATATTTCCCATGAAAGCTATCTGTGTGTCTTTGAATTAGTCACAATCTCTCAGGCCAGTCTACCTCATAGGGTTGCCATTGTGGGCAAATTTAGGAGGGATGCTGAGCAGAGTTCCTCAACTAAAGGGGTATCTAAAAACACACACATGCACAAAAATTAGTTGTTATACCCCTACTACAGGAAATATTCATTTTTTTACTATACACAAAGATCTCAATTATTACTTTTGTTGCATTATTTCTGATCAATGTTTAATATTGATGGTCAAAAACATGCCCTGGATTATTAAAAGAGCAAAAAATGAGGACATCTAATTGAGCATATTAAAAACTTGCTCCTCCTGGGTTTTAAAAACAGATAGTACTTAAAGCCTCAGTTCTAGACCAGATGGATATTTTCCTCTATGAAATAAGGCAACTACTATATTTAGTCTGTTTGACCTGTAGTTGGTAGCTTTATGTGAACCAGAAATGAGAAGTATAAATTATGATGACCACAATGAATGGATAAGCCTTCAGTGCTTCCATCTATCAAATTTAAAAAACCAAGTCACTTAAATACAATGTTAATCCTACTGAATCAAAGTTTGTAAATAAGAGTTAAATGAGAATTAGAAATCCTGCATGTAAAATCAGTACATATAAATTCTTTTTCAAGTATGCCATCTACTGGAAAAACATGTGATAAAACAATCTGATTGTTACCTGTTTTAAAATGTTAGAAGGCAGATCTTAAAAAAATATATCAAAATTGAATGCTAAATTATGTCACTCTGTTCTGTGATGGTAATCTTTATTCCAAATATATATTTTCTTCTTAATACACCATCCAAAAAGAGGGAACACAAACCAGAAACTAAATCTTCTTGTGATGAAATTTTAAAGTAAATTCTTTCAATTGTATTTTAACCGGGCAGACCTGAGTTATAATTCTGTATCAGGCATTTTTAATAAACTATAATTTTATGATAACAATATATTTTTACATATGGAAATTACAAGATTAAAAAGCCTGAATATTAAACCTGATTTCTGGTTGGTCAACCTGTCTATTAAACAGCACAACAAACCTTGCTATTATTCCAAGGATCTTGAAATATTTGAAGTGTGTGGAACGGGACAAACAGAGCAGCATTGTCAGAGGATTATGCTTAGTTGATTATAGTCCTTATATCTGATGTCATGCTAGTTTTCCCCTCCTTAGCTAAGGAACCAACCAACCTGCCAACCACAACACTACACCAAGGTGTTTAAGGTCAAATAAGGACAAGGGCATCACTTAGCACAGAAACAACACAATGCATAGTTTTTCTAAACAATTAGACTGGACTGTTTTCATTGATTTTCAGTCTTAATATCCCCACCATTTTTTAGAAAACTTCTTTCCATTTTTTTTTAGTTGTGGCATTCAACTAAGAGATGGAAAGAGCTGATAAACAATGAGCTTTCATCCTCTCCAGTTTAAATATAGGTGGTAATGAAAATAGTTCTGGAGAAAATCCTTTATGGCTGTCCCCTGCCCCCAATTTCACTGTGAATTTTTTTATTGTTTGTTCACCCATGGATTTCTCCACATAATGTACTAAGGCAGGATAAAAATCTAATAAATAAATAAAGCATAATGTGTTTTATGTGAAGCCAACCAATGTGGTATCCTAACCATCACTTAGCATTATGACTGAACCAGACTATTCAATAAACTACTCTGAAAACTAGTCAAGGCTAATGTGTGCTCTCCATGAAACAAATATTAAACTCCTGAATTTCCTTTAAGAAAACCTGGGAAGATCTGCCTCTGGGATTAGATAAACTGTGCTATTTCTTTTCATAGCAAACACATCCAATAGAGTCAGGCTAGTATCAAACTTTGTATGTCTATCAATAGTGATTAAATGAGCGATTAGTAATGAGTGTTTCAATTAAATGTAAATTACTCCGTAACTTTGGACAGCAAACAGCATGAAAAGCTGCCCAAATTTCTTTTTAATCAAATTCAGCGCAGGCAAGAAGGTGTCACATCAGGGTGGCCCACACAAAATAATACTTTTATTATACAATAAAAGTTGTAATTTAGAAGTCTACTAAATAGATTTACTAAAACTTGAAGTCATGATTTTAATATAAATAGTTTTAAATATTTTTTGCAACACTTACATTCCTTAAAGTCTCTTCAGATTTATTTACTCATAAATCCTTTAGAAATTTCAGGCAAATAAACTTAAGTTTTGCTTACCTTTAGCGAAAGGGAGCCAGCTAGAATAAAGTGATCCATATCAATCACGGAGGAGAGGAAACCAGCTAAAATTACTTCTGTAAAGTCACTTTTTTTCTTGAGTCCAATCACTATTGCCCATGACCACAGTCCTATAATACCATGCACCATATTATCGGACAATGCCCGCAGCCAGTAAGTTTGCTGAATGAAAGAAAATTGCAGAAGTCTATCTGCTAAATAGCAGAAAATCCCCAGTCCTAGACTTGAAATAACAGACGCTGTGCTGAACGATTGGAGAAGAGCATTGGCTTTTTCAGTCTCAGATGCCATAGCAAGCAACATGTCTCCATGCACAAAATCTCATCAGGGTACATACAGCCCATTGTCTGTAAAATCTTCAGGCATTCTGTAATTACCACAAAGAAACTTAATGAGAAGCCTTACCAATTCTGACACTCTTCTTCCTTAAATAAACAAAAACATAAGAGAAATCAGTGAATTAATTATCTCTGTAAACACATTTTAGGTCACTGTCCCATATAAAGAAAACCCTGTACCCTGGATGCACAGATTGTAACATTTTTCACATTTTGACATCACTGCACTATTTTCAAAGTAGGCAATTATATTATTTTCAAAAGTTGGTAATGAAATGTCTGCAAGAAAACAAGCTCAGAGAGCACCAAGAACCCCTTTATATCTTTTCTCATTTTTATTCTACTTTTCTCTCTTAAGCCCTTTTAAATATCTTTAATGTTTGTTTGTCTTAACTTTCTTCTCTAGCAAAAGAACATATGGTTATATATACTTACACTTACAATAGCATTTACATTTGATAAATTTATCTTAAGAAGAAAGAAAAAAAGCACTTTTCAATTATGCTCTGGAACATATAAACACAACGTATGCTGATCAATTCTTAAACAGAATTACAGGACTAGTTATAAAAGAAACAATAATTATAATTATTAAAGTAACATTAAGCTATCGTTATTGAATTATATTTAATATGTGCTTGTTAATTCTATAACATGTTTATAATGTCAATATTCACATTACCCAGTCCTTGTCACAAAATGGGATGATACTTTCTGAATGCTGGGTACAAACTACATTTCAGGATGAAATGATTTTGAAACTTGATTTTATTCTGCAATTAGCATCGGATGATTATATTAAAATAATTATAGTTGCTCTTCTCTGACAGATAGGCTAAAAGATATATCCATTTTCATCAGCCATTCTGGAGGGTTCATTTGGCAATCATTAGAAAATTATAAGTCTAGAGAATATGGCAAAAGTAAAGATTTAAAAATGAAGGGCTGCTTTGTTTGTGCTTTGGTGAGGAAATTTGATATATTACATAGAAAAAAGTGATTAAAGATCCATTTAGATCATGGAACTAAATCTGATTTAGATTGTCACACAAATTTTTATATTTAAGGGGAAACAGCAACAGCAGGAAACATGACACTCTAAAAATCAGCATTACAGAGCAGTACAATCTAATATGTTACTTCTTATTCAGAGCTGATTTCCTGCACCTCATCTTATAGCACTCTCAACTGAGAGTCAATCAATTCTATGCTATTTATAATTGTGATTTTTGTATAAATTCGTAAGATAAAATAGATACACTAAATTGCTAGCTATTACATAAAACATTTAAAAAGCCAAGCTTACTAATTTATTCATAGAGACTTTGTCTTTATAGTCATAGTTTAAACAGTGGCTATTATGACTGTAGCATTAAGTATTTTTATCTGAGAGTAAAATTTTAACATATTTGCTTCCTGGTCTTGATTTTCAAGTAGGCCAGATTATATCTTGCTTTAGTAATTTAATTTTATAAATGCAATTCCATAGTGAATTCAGTACTGTAATCTTCTGATAATAGTTTGGCCTGTTCTAGCTTTCAAAAGAATTGTGTTTTAGTGGAAAAAGAAAAATAATGCATATAAATTTAAGAACTATGGCAAATGAACATCCCCAAGGTAAGCTTAACACTATACTTCAAATACACAGCGTACCTGATAACTGTTAGGATAACAGCCTAACTAAAAAGTATGTTTTACTACAGAGCAATCACTCACAATATAATAAAAGTTGCAATTTATGTTCATATTTCTAGTTGTGATATTCTGCTATGCTGATTTTTTTAAAAAAGTTTTGTAACTACTTTAGATACCTGTTGCTGTCTAACAGTGGCATAGACTAAACCGGAGATATTATAGAAGCTGTAAATATCTACAGGATGGTATGCAAGGATAAACATGTTTAAAATATAGCATTTTGAATTTTTTTATGACTGAAACCAGAAAAAATTACTTGCAAACTTACTCCCCCCCCCAAATGTGTGGACTTATTTGTATGGCTATTCTACTCTTTCCAATCTTCCTTTTTACCTCTCCTCTTAATTGTGTTTAGTTATATAATTACTGCTATATATATATAATCTGTGATCTACCTTAAAACCCAATCTTATTATTGTTATTGTTTTAACATCCCACTTAAGACATATTCCTGTTTTTTGCTCCCTTTATTTCTACGCACTAAATCAATTTACATCTGTATTTTTTCTACTCCTATGCAATAGTTTTATTGCTTTTAAATTTAAAAAGTAATTCTCTTTCATCATGACTGTTTATATCAGTGTCTTAATCTATATACAATACCTCCCCAAATTTATTTTCCAGTTCATGTTACATGTTAACTTTTCTCAATTTCTGCTGTTGGTAGCTTCCCTTTCCTTCAATGTTACTCTTACCCATTGATTAACTTCATAGTAATCATCATACATGACACTTTATGCAAGTGTTTTTCAAACTTTAAGATATCAATTCCCTTATGTGGATTTCAATTCTGGGAGTTGAAATCCACATATCATAAACCTGTCAAGTTTGGAAAAACACTGCTTTACACAATACAAATAATGAGTTTGAGAACTTATGACGCCCATCATCTAAAATTTGACAGGAGGGAAGGTGAGGTAGGAATCCACAGCAGAATTAAACATCATTTCACTTATGCTGGAAGCACTCATCCTACTGCCTTCCCCATGTTGCATATCCCATCTCACCCATTCCCACGCTGGCTGTGAATTGAAATCCAAGAAATATTTGCCGGGCAAATATTTATAACAGAAATAACAGCGTGGGAAGAGACCTCGGAGGTCTTCTAGTCCAACTTTCTTCTCTGGCAGGAAAGGCCTATACCATTTCAGATAAATTGGTTGTCCAATCTCTTCTTTAAAAAAAGCTTGGAGCATTCACAACTTCTGGAGGCCAGTCCTTCCACTGATTCATTATTCTGTCGATTTACTGCATTCTTTGAGCCAAGCTGGACTCCTGTGACTTTATGATTATTTGTCCAGGTAGCTTTTGTGGGAACCATTCAAGGGGTTTTTAATTTTGCCTTTACACACACACATACACAAAAAGCCTTCCAATCTAATCCAGCTCCCCGGAGATCCCTGTCTCCTTTCCACCTTGCTGCATCCACGATTTAGTCCCGGAGATTAAACCGAATCCATGAAAGCTGGCTGACTGCTGCTCCCATGTTCCCCCTAAAACAAGGGTCTCCAACCTTGGCAACTTTGAAGCCTGGCGGACTTCAACTCCCAGAATTCCCCAGCCAGCAAAGCGAGTTGAAGTCCGCCAGGCTTCAAGTTGCCAAGGTTGAAGACCCCTGCCCTAAGATATAAACAATTAACGCCACAAAGCCTTAATCATCCTTTCCTCACAGGCCTCGCCTGCCAGAACGGCCCAGCCGGGGTCCACACAGGAGGCTCAGCCGGGCCAGGCTACTATCCAAGTGCCGAAGATGCAGGGATGGAGGCGGCATGGGGTGGGGGGGGGGGGAAGACTTCATAGCCATGGCTGACCACTGCCCGTCTTTCTGCGCTCTCTTGACGCTGACTTCCCCTGTGGAATTTCTGCCTGGAAAAAAAAGAAGGCATGGACACCCCCGCCCCCCCCACCAACCCCGCTGTCACCCACGGGAAGGGAAGAGCCGAGCTCCACATTGACGGTGCTCCTCGCATCTTTCCCTCCCTCTCGCCCACGAGGCGCTCCTCCGATGTCACCTGCTTCTTCCCCAGCCCTTCCGGATTGCCCGGCTCTTCAGGGGATTTTTTTTTTTGAGGGCCCGTTCTTTGCCCCCCCCCCCCCCCCCCCGGCGGCCCCCTCTGCCCCCCCCCCCCTTCGCTTCGCTTACCTCCCACCAGCACGAGCCGAGGCGCCCATTCATCAGCAACGGCCACGCGCGCGCGGAGCGTTCTGGGACGGCCACCAGGCTGCGGAGATAATAAGCCCCGCCCATCCACCTCCTTCCCCCCCCCCCCCGCCTCCATCGTTGGTGTTTCCCCATCCCCACCCGCTGGCATCAGCATCTGTGCGGCAAGTTGGGACTAGCTGAAAATGTAATGTAATGTAATGTAGTGTAATACATAATATAATATAATATAATATAATATAATATAATATAATATAATATAATAAATATAATATAATATAATATAATATAATATAATATAATATAATATAAGCAACACAACGCAATACAGGAGAGGAGAGGAGAGGAGAGGAGAGAATAAAATTAGTGTAGTGTAGAGTAGAGTAGAGTAGAGTAGAATAGAATAGAATAGAATAGAATAGAATAGAATAGAATAGAATAGAATAGAATAGAATTCCTTATTGGCCAAATGTGATTGGACACTCAAGGAATTTGTCTTTGGTGCATATGCTCTCAGTGTACATAAAAAGAAAAAATACATTCGTCAAGAATTATAAGGTACGACACTTAATGATAGTCATAGGGTACAAGTAAGCGATCAAAACATACTAGGAAACAATATAAATCATAAGGATACAAGCAACCAAGTTACAGTCGTACGTGGGAGGCATGGTGTTTTTAAAGGCCTGGGAAATAAAAGGGATTCTCCCTGTTAAGTCTGTTGGGCTTTGTTTTTCATTTTATGAAAAAGTGACTTTAAACAAACAACCAGATATAGAGATTCGAGATTCTTAGATGGAAATTTTCACGCACTCTTCTTGGCAATATTATTGAAGGGGTTTGGCACAGCCTTCTAACAGGATGTAAAGGTTTTTTTTCTTTTATTTTCAAGGCAAACTTGCAACCCTGGGATTTCCTTGTGGTCTCCCATCCAGGGACTAATCCAGCCTGACTCTGCTTAGATCCACCAGAAAACATGTTGTACCATCTGAGACCAGAGGCTATTTGACAAAGACAGTATGCACCATGGTCTGGGACCTGATTGACTGATTAAGACTTTTAGCAACCACATACACTTTTCCCCATGTTTCAGCTACTCCAACCATGCACCTATCCACCTTGTTGCTAGCCATCCTCTACTCTTTCCTCCCACCTTTGCCAGCATGACAGACTTCTCAAGAGAGCAAAGTCTTCAGATGTCTGAAGTAGGATAATGTGAGGGTAGTCAGTTGTGTCTTCAATGAGAACTTTGGGTTCAGTTTGTTTTGCCAATTTATGGTTTCTTTGGTTGTTCATGTTCAAAAGCTTTTATATTTTCCTATTCTGCTTCTTCAAAGCCCAAGTTTCGCTACCATAGTCACAGAGAAAACCATTTCCAAAACAATTCTGCCTTTGTAGGTTTAGATATATTCTGGCATCTGAATATTTTCTCTTAAGGCCTTCATGGCTGCTGTACTGAGTGATCGTCTGTGAGATATTTCTTGACTGCTGATTTCTTTTATGTTGATGGTTGATCCTAACAGAAGCTAATTAAATACTTTCATTATCACTTCTTTTTGTATGTTATGATTAATTAGATCTTTTTTATATTTAATTTTAATCTAATTTCCCAATAGGTTTTCTCTATCTATCTATCTATCTATCTATCTATCTATCCATCCATCCATCCATTTTCCACCTCACCCATCTCACCTAATTTACAGTGGAAAGTGAGTTCTACATTAATAAAGGCACATGCCATAAATAAGGTTTTGCTCCTATTTCGATATTTATTTAAAACATTTATAGTTCAGGAATTTATAGTTCAGGAGTTTATTTAAGAAAAAAGCCCACCAACCTATTAAGTCTAAATATAACACTCATTGAAATGCTTATATCCTAAGGATGTTTCCTAATATAAAATAAAATCTGTGTGTTTCTTGTAACTACCAACAAATACTTTCCCACTATTTCGACTCATCTCACCTGACCAAGCAGGGAGGTTATGTTGTGGGTCTCATTGGCTAAAGGAAAAGTCTCTCCTCTGTTGTTGATGCTGCTCTATGTAACATCTTGTCCCCAGAGGGGAGGCAGGCTCCCACTCTCCTGGCCTTCCAAAAAGACCTGACATGGGGGTCTAAGAGTGACATGCAAGCTTGGGGATGGTTAGTGGCTGGAGAGTGCTCCCTCTAGTTTTTAATCTTATTTCACTTTTTTAATTTCTGTAACTCTTAACTATGTCTTTAGTACTGTTTTTAATTATGTCACTTTTCATGGTTTTTATTTGTAAACCACCCAGTCACTTAAGTGATATGAACAGTATAGAACAGTGATGGCTAACCTTTTTCTTGTCGTGTACCGAAAGCTCGTGCTGTGCCCATAATGCAATGTGCCCCCCTTGCACATGCATGCATGACCCCGACTCCCCATGTCCCGCCACGCATGCGCATGTGACCCCCTGCCTCATTTTGGGCCTAGCAGGCCTCCCTGCAGCCTCCTGGGCCGAAAAATGGGCCTGTGGGGGGCGCTGCACCCCTCGCGCATGACCCCCTGCCCACCTCCCTATCTCCCACATGTGGCCCACCCCCAGCGCATCCTGAAAATTAGCTGGCCGGCGGGAGGCAAGCATGCGCGGTAGAGCTGAGCTAGGTGATGGCTCATGTGCCCACAGAGAGGGCTCTGTGTGCCAGCTGTGGCACCTGGGCCATAGGTTTGCCATCACGGGTATAGAAATTTGATGAATAAACAAACAAACAGGTGAGTAAATGGCTTAAAGCTAAAACGCAGCCTCATTCAAGGTTTACTTTTAAATGTAGAACACTCACTTTCCAATCTGTGCTTGGCATCACCAAAGAAACAACTCTGGTACAGAAAAGACATTAAAAAAAACCCACAACAGACATGACTGCAATTTACTTATCAAGCAATAAAGTACTGTGCCAATTTGATTAGAACATATTGTCTTGGTTAGGCCTTTTTGTGGACTTTGAACAATATTGAGAAAACTATATAAAAAAACAAGTCAACAGCGTTAGATGTCCATATGTGGGAAATTTTATTTGGGTATCTCGGTGAAGCCACATTTCACATTTCTTTCTAATTTAGTATTTAATCTTAAAAAAAAATTATGATTTGTCATAATTTATATAAATTTTATATAATCATCTGCGAAGTTAGGGACCATTGCTTTTTCAGTCAGATTAAAGACGGACAACCTCCCTTGAAATATTTTTGACTCCAGCACGCTTTGTGGAAGAAGCCAGAAGAGAGTCAATATCATTTATAACTTTTGAAGTTTTTTCCAGAGACTCAGTTATGTTCTTGATATTGACATCTTCTGCCAAAAAGACTTCTTTTGATACACTTTCTGTATCTAGGTCAGATGACAAATTTCTTCCCACAGTTGAAATCCGACTTGGAATATTGCTGTTGTCGACTAAAACTATAGTATGTAGTTAAGGAGAAACAAGATACTAAAAACAGCCACTTCTCTCTTCTGTTACTCAAATTAGAAGGAACTTGTTGAGTTGCTTTTCACTGTATCGTATTCTGCAATGCCAATATATATGTATATAAAATTTTACAAAAACTTCCCTTTGACTGTGTCTCTGTGAACTTGGAACACAACTAAACACGCACATCACAATTTAGAATTTGGAATATTTCATTAAATAATTCATATCCATAGTTAATGATAAGTATGGCATAACAAACATTGTCACAAGAAAGTCTGTACCATATGGATGTTATTGTTCCTAGCTATTTATTGCTGCTTTGACTGGAAAACTGAATCAGAGTTCCCAACAGGGCAATTATTGGATGCATCAAACCAAGAATTATCTATTTTAAGAAGTGTTGTGAGGATTGAAAAGGTGTAGAAAAGGATACAGTTGAATCGTCTTATTTTTTCAAGCTCAGCCGCAATTGACCTATGAGAAAAAAAGAAAAACCTAATTAAAATGAACAGTGTAATATTAGTAAAATCTAGTAGAACAGAATGTCCCTCTAAAAAGTGAACACTAAAAGTTTGTTTCATTGCTTCCATTTAATATACTTCTAAAAAAAAATAGGAATTACTGGAAAGTGAATGCATGTTTTGCTACTAATTTGCAGAACAAACGGTACTTTTAATTAAAATGGAAAAAAGACCCTTAATAAATCCAATGGATGGCTTTTATAAAGCATCACTGCAGATTTGAGAATATTCAGGCTTGTTTTAGTTAAGAATACCAGCTTTGTTGTTGAATGGATTCTTTTGTACTGGTATACGTCTCTCTGTCCTTGTTCAGGCTTTTGCACCATTCCACCACTGTTGTGATATATCTGCATTAAAGAAAAAGGTTTTGTTACATCTGGTGTAAATGGGAAACAGCTTTTAAGGACTCACGGCAAATGTGGAGCATCTTATGAACATCAATTAAGTTAGTAAAAACTAATAAAAAATAAAGAGCAGAACAAAAATGCAGGAAAGTCAGTAACTTCTATGGGCTTATCAGCAGAATGGATGAGGGCTGCATGAAAGTGATGGTGACATAAGAAATAGGAGGGACATGAGTGTTTAATCATGGAAACTATTTTGGCAACAGTAGAAGGACATATTCCTTGTACCGCTGCATATAATAATTTTTTCTGTGATTATCTGCTAACTTAAGGATTGCACAAATCTTAATAGTTGTGTAACATAACACAAAGAATTCTGGAGGAAAAAAATGTAATTCTTGAAAAACTATCAACAACTATACAACTACTTTTAACATCTACCATATTTTAAAAAGTAATTTTTAAAACAACTTCCACCATCTTGGTTTTAGAGAAGTTTAAGTCTCCGAAAATTCTCCACAAGTACCTCTCATAGGGCCCAGGATGATCAATCTGGAACAGCTGTTGTGCTCCTTCAGGACAAGTCAGTTTACACCAACCTGCATTGTTCTCTTGAGGATTCTTGGACAAAAGAACAAAAAATAAAATAGGAAAGAATGTCTACTCTCCCTGTCCACTGTAATTTATTCTAGGTCATGTTGATTTCCTAGTCTATTTCTAAACTGGGGGAACAGGTAGCTTTCTGGATCTTCTGCAAGATGGAAGACTTAAAGACTCTAAACATCACATGGAAGACACTGAACTACTTGCTCAAGACTGAAAATGCTTGCTGCCCGACATGCTAGAAGCATGGGAGGGATTTAATGCTAATCTTCCATTAAAACTATTTTTTCCCTATTTACAGTGTTCCTGCAACATGCATGCGCGTATAAATAGAACATAAAATAAAATCATCACTGGAGGCTTTCAAGAAGAGATTGGACTGCCACATGTCAGAAGTGGTGAAGGGTCTCCTGCTTGGGCGGGGGGTTGGACTAGATGACCTACAAGGCTCCTTCCAACTCTATTAATCTAATCTTATGTAAAAAGTCTATTCTGGGCAGTGTTGAACACAGGACAGGCATTGGACATTTTAATGTGTCCGTCCCCCCCCCTCGCCCCCTCCCCCAGGTCCATGCATCTTAAAGTTGCCAAGGTCGAGAAACACTGTTTTACAAGGTCATATGTTAAATAGCCAATCTTAAAAGTTGCCAAGGATTGTTTATAGGATGGGCACTTGGGCACTTATTCTGATCTGATTCGATTTATCCAATGATCCTTCTTGGTATTTCTTTAAATATGAAATAAATAACTTTACCTATTGCTCACCTGACTGCTCTTTAGAAGGTCAGATCCTGAGGATGAAACTCAAATACTTTGGCCACCCAATGAGAAGGAAGGACTCCCAGGAGAAGAGCCTAATGCTGGGAACGATTGAGGGCAAAAGACGAAGTGGACGGCAGAGAATGAGGTGGCTGGATGGAGTCACTGAAGCAGTCGGATTGATCTTAAATGGACTCTGGGGGATGGTAGAGGACAGGAAGGCCTGGAGGAATGTTGTCCATGGGATCACAATGGGTCGGACACAACTTTGCAACTAACAACAACATTGCTCACCTGTGATCTTCCAGAGTGAGAACTGAAATCCCACTCCATATTCAGGACTATCCCATCACAAAATACAGCATATATCTTCTTATCTGAATACGCAAAGAATCTTCCTACATTAGGAACAAATGTTTCAGCCACAGGGAGTGGTAACACTTCTCTTCCACCTGTATCAGAAGACTATTAAAAAACAAGTGAAATCAAATAAGATACATTTTACTTGTATTAACTTATGCTAGTATTTGATTATCACATTCATACCTACCAACTTCCAGCAGCAAACATTATAATTATGTGTCAAGGAAAGCATATTCTCAAGATCATGTTGAAAAACTCTAATTAGAAAAATAAAAAAGAGAGATTCAAATTTCACTTTAAGTTGCAAGCCTTTTAAAACATTTAAATCAGGGGTGAAATCAGGCAGGTTCTGACAGGTTCTGGAGAACCAGTAGCGGAAATTTTGAGCAGTTCGGAGAACCAGTAGCAGAAATTTTGAGTAGTTAAAGAACCGGCAAATACCACCTCTGGCTGGCCCCTGAGTGGGGTGGGAATGGAGATTTTGCAATATCCTTCCCCCAGGAGTGGGAGGGAATGGGGATTTTG